TGTGTGTGTGTGTGTGTGTGTGTGTGTGTGTGTGTGTGTTAGGGAGGTTCTGTGTGTCTTTCTTTCTTCTATTTTAACCGATTTAGCTACTTGGCCTTAAAACTATAAACTGACTGGCAAGGTCACAACTAAATCATGACACACTCAAAGTTACTAAACCATTCCCCTTCATTTGGGCCGTCTGAACAGTGCCAGACTCCAGCAACTAAAGCTACTTTTCTGTTATCTTTTCAGTCATAATATAATTTTTCTGGCCTTAGCAGGCTTAAGGTGGTACTGGAATGCCAACACTGGCCTAAAGCTCTCTAAATGTTTCTTAAATTATATCCTAAAGTACGGTACACACAGTTTACTGTGCAAAATTCCAGGCATGATACTGGCTTGCAGCATCTCTAACTTAACTGCAAATATATCTTTAATTACTACTGACGATCATCAAAGATCAGGAGCAAAAGATCCAAATGAAGAAAAGTAACATTCAGAATGCCTGCCTACTGCCAATGTCCCTTTTTATAATGTGGGCTGTCAAGATTTAAAATGTGACCGTGGGGAATACGCTTTCCAAAGGAGCCACCTCCTCTTAGGAAGCCACCTAGAAAGCCAGGCAGCATTGTCAGCAATTTCAATTCTAAAGCATGGGTGTGCTCTCCTCTCACACTTGAAAGGGTTAAGTGCCTGCAAGGCCAAAGGCTCTGGACTGCAAAAGAAATGTTGCTTTAGTCAGCTCTGAAAGGTCTCTAGCAAGTATCAAATACTTGTTGATCTGCTCACAATAAACACCAGCAGGACTGTCAGGCTCCTTTCACTGTCTGGGGAGATGCATTTACATATTGTACCCAGTAGGAACAGTGTGTTGGTTTCCTTTAGAAAAGCTGAGTAGCTAGAAGCCTCATTCAGTATCTCCTGCTCAAAGGACTGAAAGAAGATGCGATTGAAATGGTGAAGTCTCTCCTCTCTGGTTCGGGCAGCTCAAATACTGTGCATAAAACACTTCGAGTAGTTCAGGCAAACCCACCTGAATGGACCGAGGAACACTGTCTGTTGCCATGGCAGCCTGATCTAATTACATGAGTGATCAGGGCCAGAGTAAGTGTACAGAAAACTAACACCACTGACAGTATCTGTATGATGAGAGAGGCAGACAGGCAGGAGGCTTTTCAGCCTTGGCATTATGTGGAAGGTGGCATTCAAGTCCATTTATTTGCAAAGCTGCGAAAATATTGACTGATGCATGGCCAGTTAGAGGACAATCAGAGGAGATTAAATGCCACAGCTAAACTGTTATGGTGCAATCCCTTTCCAAGAGTTTGTGCGCATGTTTTTCTTCTCCTTGGTGGCTATCTCTAGCTTCCGCTGGCATAAGCTTCATTCAAAATAAAATAAAAATAAATTCTCAGCTATCGAACTATCTTGGCTACCCACCCATCATCACGAAACCAGAGGGTGGGCTTAACTAGGGCTTCTAGGAACAGTAGGGCTCTTCAAAAAGCCACACAGAAATAGCTTAGGAAACACTATTGAAAAAGTAACCAGCTGTGCCTAAAAATAAGCAGCATGTAACGACCTTGTTGTGTGCGATCTATAGCAATGATGTTTAAATATTAAGAAGACCTTGCATTATAAAACAGAAATGTCACTGAGATGAGACTACTAGATTGCTAAGGGAAACATATTGCACACACACACACACACACACACACACACACACACACACACACACACACACATATTCCCCTGCATGCTAGGTAGGAGATGAGGTGAGAACTCTACTAAGGCATTACTTTGTATTCTGTAGGTGGTGTGGGGTCTTCTAATTTTACTAATTGTATCCTGTGGCTCTCTGAGGAGCTAAGAAATCTCTTCGGGGACAGAACGAGTTTGGAGGAGTTCCTACTGCACAACATACGGTAAACAAAATAAAAATAGCTTGCCTTTCTTGTTAGCCACATAGCGCATTATATAACCAGCTTCCGACTGGCTTTTTTTTTTTCCGCCCTTACTACTCTTCAGCAATTTCCCAACCTTCCCAAGTATTTATATTACCCTCTTATCTGTAGGATTATACAGAAAGAAAGCAAAACAAAACAGGACAGCTATGGGATCGAACTGAACTCCACAGTCTTAACACCCTGATTTTTTTTTTTTTTTTTTTTTTTTTTTTTTTTTTTGGCGGAGTCTAGATCACCATCCTACTTCCACCCCCCACCACTAAGGTCCTTGCTTAGTCTCCCTAGAAAACCTGGTTTCACCGATTCCAGTCAGCTCTCTACGTGGTCTGAAATAAAATGAAAGCGCACAAGCCACAGAGTTGAAGGAGGTGGCTAACGAGAGGTCGAGGCGCTGCAGAGTCAGCCAAGGGACCACCGTGGAGCCCCATCCCCATCGCGAAGGCCCTGGCCCCCGCCCGGAGCGAGAACACACGCGCACACACACGCACCTACACACTCACATGCACTCACTCCCTCCTCTCCGACCCCGCCTCACCTCTCGCTCCGCCCGTCCGGCCCCTTCCCTGCCCCCTGCGGGACCGGCCTGCGTGCTCCGCTGCAACCACGTAGGAGGCGGCGGCGGCGGCAGCCCCGGCAGTGGCGGCGTCTCGGGGCCCCGAGTGAACGAGCCGCGGGGCTCCGGGGCGCATCCCAATCCCCGCAGCGCCTCCTCCGCCGCCGCCTCCTCCTTCCCCTCCTCCCATCTTCATTCACCCTCCCTGCCGCCGCGCAGCCGAGCAGTCCCGGCGCAGGGCAGAGCCCGCAGCTCCTCCGCTGCTGCCTCGG